TTAGTCGCGATTTTTGGGACACCTATACATAAAAAGTTAGGCAAAATAACTTTTTATTTGAAAGTTTTGTAGCTCATGATGTTCCGGTTTCCCCTATACTATTAACAACAATCGTTACGTTTTGCTTTGACGATTAAAAAAATTGCACCACTCTACATTTCTTGGAGTGAAATTTCACACCAAGAAATTTAAAGAGAGAGAGAGAGCACAGATGCGATTATTCAAATTACCTAATTTCTTCATTTTTTAAACCTAATACCTTGGCAACCTAGAGCTTCAGCTCAGATAAACCCGCTACTACGATATAACGTGAAAATTATCGAAGATACGCGGAAGCGATCTCTACTCGAAAAACATATAAGATTACACGCGGGCGTGTCCTAATGCATATTTGCTGCTTAGGGAACGGCGCGACTCTAAATAAGGTAATCCGCGCCATTAAAGTTCTGGAAAAGTCGCGCCGTCCTTATCCGAAAGGCGCGGTATGTTCGTGAGATGTACGTTTTATCGTTTATTACGTGTCCGGATCTCGCGTTCCGATAAACCGGTTTCCGGTAAGCGGGCAGTCGCGGAAACGGATTTGGCTCATTTGCCAAGCGGATTTTACGCCCGTTTACGTTACGGTTATACATGCGGCGGGCAGGAAAGGCGTGCGAACAGTCATTCCGCTGGGCGCAAACAGGCAGACTTTAACGATCGGTAATCGGTTTCTCCGGCAGCGCTCGCCGCGCCGGGACGTTCCGGCAAAAAGTTTAATGGCCAGGAAAAAATCGCATTAACGATCCCGCCGCTCGTCGCCGCCGTCGCCTTTTCCCTGCGAAAGGCGCGTTCACTGAAGGTCGACCGCGCGAAGTGATGCAAATTATTCGACGAAAGAAAAAAGAAGGAGGGGAACAAGTGAAGGATATAATAATCGGCCCGAAGCAATTTTGGGCGATGCCATTTGATATTTTTTAGAACTGACAAGAAGCGAGAAAAGTATAACAAGAAATAAAATTATGCGAAGAATTTTGAAAGAAATTAATTTTATTTATTTTAATAAGTTACAAATATATTCCATATACTATATACATTTTTTTACTTACATATTAATGTATGATTTGTATCTTTATGGTGAATCCCTATTAGATTAATTAATGCAACTCTTTTTCTAGAGTAGAAGAATGTTGATATTTGTGTAAATTATAAATGGGATCGAGAAAAGAAAAAATTCTAGGGAATTCCAGACGTATTAAAAAATATAGTTTATTAAGTACTTACCTCAGACAATTCTTGCGTTTGATCGATGATAATCAGTTTCGATATTGAGAAAAATATTTTGATCATATCAAATCAAAAATCGGATTATTGAAATTGAATTTTTGGCTATCTTGATTAGAATGTTTATTGCTTTTAATTATAAATATCTATTTGTATCTTTGTAGTTTATTTAAGAATTATTTTAGAATTAATGCAACTAGATTTTTTAATAAAAAAAAAATGTTGATATATATATATAAATTATAATCAAAGAGAAGAAAAAATTTTTGAGGACCAACTCTTAGAAAGCTTAGAAATTGCATTGAGAGAAAAAATGAATTATAATTAAATTATATTAATTGTAACTATTTTTATGATAATAATAATTATAAATTATATTCATCTTCAATATCAACTATGTATATTTTTTCATAAAACTACAACAAATATAATTACTCTTACTAACATTGCAGCAATAACAATCATAATTATAGCATCGCGTAATTATAGTCAAAAATTTTTCTCAGTGCGCAGATTGCAAAACCGATTTCGATTGGGCAGGGAGTAATAAAAAACACGACGTAGTATACAGTTCAATATACATGCCTATATTGACTGCGTGTCTAAGTACATCGAATAAGGAATTCGAATCCCAGGATATTTAGCAATTAGAGACGTAAATTAGGTGGTGAGATGGTGACTCCTCGCTATGCTGGGCGCGATTTGTTAGTCGCGCCTCCACGGACGAATCGCTCGCTATTCACGCAAAATACACGCACACAAACGCATCCTCTTTCTCTTACGCCGTATATATACACCTAGATAACATCAAAATAAATCTATATCTCGCAAATAGCAATAATTCTGATCGAGAGGCTATGTACACGAATGGCGGACTAAAACGCATGCACTCTCACTCTTTCTCACTCACACTCATTGCCCTTTTTCTCCCCCCCCCCTCTCTCTCCCTCTCTTATTAATAATCGTAAACTAAATTACTCCATCATTTACATACATACAATTATCTTGTAACGCGTTTTTATGCGCAACTACGTCAGAAGGATTTCTTTTGTCGCTTGCACAATCGCAAAGTCACGGGACCGAATGGCCCCGCCAAAAGAGGCGGCAGTTTGCCTCCTCGCTGTATTTTCTCAGAGAAAATCGCAGAAGTTTAGGCGTATAGCTTTTTTTTACAATCCTGTCTCGCACTCGCTCTATTTTGGCATTCGCTCCTCGAAACATTCGCGTCGCTACGTGTCGTCGCTCTGCTCCGCATTTTCAATCCCATACTTGTTCTCCGTTAATTTTCCTCGATAGAGAGTGGCGCAAGTTGATTCAGATCATCAATCCAATCGATTAATTCAATCAATCCAGAGGAGTATACGCAAAAATATAAGTTAACCCTCTCTTTGGAATCATATTTTTATTTCATCCGTCTGCAATCTGGATCTTTTTTGCCCAGCCTAAATTTTTTTACTGTTTTAGTCTTTCAAAAAAAATTCAAAGTTATTTTTCAACATCTTTATCGCACTAAAATAGTTCTTTTTAACGATGTCTTATATGTTAAAATCTTAATTTAACACATTCACGACTGCGTGATTATCGATATGCATCATCATTATTTTGCTAAACTACTATCAATCAAGCATTTTTTAAGAGATGATAGCAATATTTCTGCAGTAATCTAAAGGCTGCATTCTAAAATTCATTACCAGTGTTAAAAATGCATAGCACGTAACATAAATTCTACACTGCAAAAAGTCTGATTGGATTAATGGAAATTCTAGTGGAAGAAAACAGAATTTTATAGTGAAATCTATTATATAGTAATTCTAGTTGATTAGAAAACCATATAATAACCGTATCTGAAATGATTGATATCAGAATCCATTGATTCATTCATTTTCAACAAGAAATTTTTCTTATTGCAGATTTTCAATATTGGCAATGAACAGTCAAAATATATATGCTACCTGTGCAGGTTGTATTCACCTATAGGCGTATTCAGATTTCTACCTGAGTGAGGAAATCTGAATTAGTCTCCAGGTGTTATATCATCCTTGTCTATGTATGATAAACAACAAGGATGGAATAATACTTGAGTGACACTGTAGTGAGAATCTGAACTCAACACTATGTGATTCCCGATGGTCACCATGATCCACTCAGTGAGTCATGTCGTTCAACAAGAAACAGCCGAAATTGTGTGAAAGAGCAAAAGTAAGAATGACATTTGAGTGAAATTTTATTCGTGCTAAAAAAGTCCCAGACTATAGACGGAAGATTAAAATAAAGATTAAATAGCTGACGAGATGGGCAAAGTCTGGAAATGGCTTATTTTCACATGGAACATAGCTATGTTTAACGAAATTAGAATAGCCGTCAGAGATTAATACGTCTTCGCTTTTCTGAACGTTCCTAAAAATAACGCTCGCGGCAATGCAGGGTGGTCTTTGAAATAAAAGGAAACGCACGGTGCTTAATCTTTCCCAAGTCACGCTACAAGATCGTTAAACGTTGGCGCGTTACGTTACACGATTTCGCTCGTTACGTTCATCCCCCGTTGAATTCGCTCCGTTCTGAAATCGTTTCGCCGATACAAGAATCAAGCGATGCAAGTCCCGAAGCGTCGAGAACGCCGTTATTCGAGCGGCGTTTTCGCGAGATTTTGCAACGAATTTAACGACCACGGCGACGGCGGCGCTTTTGGCCGCGATGCAAATTAAAGGCTTCATTAGCGTCGTCGCAAGAAACGGCGCGTACGGCAATGCTGACGTCACACGTTCTCGCGCGCAGGAGTTATTAAGCGAGAATGCGCATACGCCTTTTCCGTGTACTCATTTCCACAGTCGAGCGTAAGTGGTGCGACAAGGGGGAAAAAAAAAAAAGAAAAAAGTTGGCCGCGGTTTTCCTCGGTTTTCTGCCTCGAGCGTGAAAATCTAGAGATCGGTGAAATAATTTATATCTGGGAGAGAAGGGAAGATAAATTACGGTTTCGATGTACGTAAAATTCATTGACCTTGCAACTGCGTAAAAGGGTAATTTCAAGTACCCTCCTCCCTACCAATTAGTATACCTCTCGATATTAACGCGCCAATCGCGTTAATTTCCCGCGCCTGTGAAAATTCACCGATCGCGCAATCCCCCGATTGTGGATTATCGCGAAATTGTGTCATTGCCAATTTTATAATAATAACGTAAATAAATATCGCGCGTTAATTACTTTTGACTTCGCGCACCGCCACTCTTTTGAGAATTATATTACGTTAATTGAGGAGCACTTTTCGAAATGTACGCGCATTTTCGCCCAGGGACATATCCTCGAAATCGCACGTGTCGAACTGAACATTTTGCAACATCAAAAGAGATTCTATAACACAAGTCTGGTCACGATTTTTTTTCAAAATCTTATGAAGAAAAAAGATTTATTTACTTTGAATATTGAAATCATAAAAAATTCGCAAAAAACTGAATAAAGAAAGGTGATTCACTATGCCGCAGAGTTGATTAAAGTTATAGAACAGATTAAAGTGATAGTATATATATATATATAAGTATATATATCCTTTTGGTAGGTATTTGACAAAATCATTCGTGATCAAACTGTTATAGAATCTCTAATTAAAACAAATACAATTTCTTTCTTGCAATCTTCGATTTCTTAGTTAGACAAAAATATTAAGTATGTCGCATCCAGACTTAAAAAATTTCAATGACGCACTACCTTAAAAATAATCTAAAATCTACGACAGTTTTACGTCTCCAAAATTATTCTCAATAATAACTATTAATTTCGTTTACCGAGACCGATCATCCAGATACGTATCGAATATACACGACTTGATCGTAGCCATCATAAGGACGATTTCCGCAGTAGACGACGATCGCAGCTGCGCACCGGCATGACTTCCGGTTTCGCACGCGCGCTTCACGAGATACACTTTTATTTACAAAGATAAAGAGCCTTTGGATCTTTACCACGGTCTCCACATACCCTCCTCATCCTTGACTGGTTGCTGGCCGACTGGTGACGGAGAGGGCATGCCAACGGCGACCTCGCTATCCGCATGACTAGACGGTCTGTCCTCATGGATGATGGGACCGCCGGTCTCGGTCGATAGACGGGCTTGCTGCTGTTGCTGCTGCCGCAGATGATGATGATGATCGACTACACCGGAATGCGCCGAGTTTCTCGAACCAGCGGTCTTTATCTTCTTGGACGTAGTGGTGAAGTCGAGTGGCTGTTCTGGCTGCTCCATTCGCGGGCTCTTGCTAGGCTTGAGGCCGGTAGGATCCTGCCATTCCTGGCCGATTTCCTCATGCGGTCGCTTCGCCAGCTTGTCAGTGGCTTTGAGCAGTGACATGTTGGTCGCCGCCCAGATCGCCGTTGGCGGATTAGGCCCGATGCTGATGCCGTTCGCTGCGGCCGCTGCTGCCAATTGCACGTAGTGGCTCGGCAGTAAAAAGACCACCTGGCCGTCCGGCAATCGGGAGGGTATTACTTGTACCACCGAGAGCATGTTGGGGTTCTGTTGCGAGGTGGAGGCTTGATCAACGGGCAAGCCCGACGGATGATGTGGGTGATGCGGATCCAACGTCGCCGGGTTCACCTGGCTGAAGGCGGAGGTCGGTCGGCTGCTGTTATTGTTCTCATCGCCAGCGGTGGTGCTGCTATCGGGTCGTGCCGCCTCCACCATCTCTGGGATCTCGGACTTGATCAGACCAGCCGGCGTGAGCGCGGCGCTGCAATGCGGTCCGACCGGCACGTGGTGATCCAACGGGCCCGGGCTCGTCGTCCCCGCCACGCGATCCGTCACGCTACCCGGGCTGCTGCCCAGGCCACTGTCCGGTCGCGAGCCCAGGTCCAAATCAAGTTCTGACACACAGCTATCGAGATGGCGAAGCAGCCGCTGCTTCACTGCCGGATCCATTGGTGTGGTGTTGCCCGTGATGATGTCTGGTGCATCGAGATAGCGGCTCACCTGAAACACGATAATGAGAAACCGGTGATGCAAATACAGGTCAAAAATAAAACGTCTTTTCATATTACGAAGAGCTGTCGATTGGACGCTAGTAAAGTCGCTTCCTTTGTGGACATAAGATAGTGAGACAATTTATGATACTCTCTTGGCTTAATGGAAGCTCCTTAAATCACGACAATTGAATTGTGAATTGACTTTTAGCCTTTCTATATAAGGATCCTATATAAATTCAGAAGGGAGCAGTAAAAAAGAGAAAAAATACTGATCTTTCGATATGAATACATACTAAAGTAGAGACTCTCAAGTAAGATTTTGGACACTCATGTTTATTTCTATCAATGTAAGTTAAGTTTAATCTGATTCAAGTTTCGTCTTTTCTAGTTCTAAGAATTAGAAAAAGATGAAAAGTAATTTAAATAAAGATTAAGGTTAATCTACATTGATAGAAATGAACGTCAGTAATCTTTTACGAAAAAAATATGGCAGCAATCATTATGTAGAGTATATAGGATAGATTATGCAAAGCTTCACGAAAACCTATATACTTTACAATAGAGTCAAATATTGCCGCTATATTTGTCTCGCGTGACTAGACTCTTGCTTGAGCGTCTCTACAGTAAACGAAGAGTTGTAACAGTGAGGAACGCGCGCTTAGTTTGTGCAGATGAATCATGCTGAAATCCTTGAATTTTATGCAAACGTGCAAATAGTCACGGAGACACATTGATATTAGAGAACGGCACGGCGCCAGAAACTCATGTCGTTCAGAAGAGACCGAGCTTCTCGCTTTGTGCGACAGTCAATCCACATTACCGCGAATAATTTCATTCTATTTCTTTTTCTTGAATTCCCTCAACGGAGCGAGGGTTGGTGCCAAACCTAATATGCAGGCCAACATCAAGTGATGATTAACATATATATTGTATGAGTGAGTGATTTTCGTGACGTTAATAAGTGAACATTCTGTGAAAATTCTTTTATTGTTGCGGAATATACGGCATATTGAGAATACAAATCAAACTTTTCATGAATTAATTTTAGCTAGGATCCTTCAAACAGCAACTTGAGCCTTTTTTGGCGCAAGCAAAATTTCATTCTCCGAAATTAAGGACGACGTTTGGTTCCTTCTCCTAAAATATCTTGTTAAAAAACTATTTGTAATTGATAATGTAAAGGAAATGTTTAAAAAATAATCCAAAATTTTTCCATATTTTTTGAAACCTTAGAACATTTTTAGAACAATAAAAAAATTTGTGCTGGACAAAAAAGATCTCGATTGCAGAGGATTAATTCTAAAACTACAACTATATGCAAATTATATCTAAGTTTTAAAGCGTTTAAATTACAGAATGCAAGTGAACTTCCTTCTTACAGCGATTAATACAAGAAAGTTCCAAGTTCTTTACCTACAATTTAGAATCTCATAATACCAATCGTACAGATCGTACCAACCGCGTTTACAATTTTTACTTCGAATCCAAATGACCTGTTACTATAGTCGAAAATTAATGAGACAGTATAGATATATAAAATCGGAAATGTGTATTTGTGTGTGCCTATAATGTATAACTTTATGCAACTTTTCGCAATGTACTAAACTCTGAATCAGTTATAGATTCGCTAAACTCAAAGAATCGTGCGGATCGATCTTCCCTGGAGCACGAACAATTTCACGAACGGAGGCGATTTTTGCGGGAGGTAACACCAGCGATAAACAAACATTCGTGCGAGTCAACGTCGAAATATATTGCGCGCTAGAAATTCCGCTCTGGACCGCGAGCGCGGTGTATCGCGCGTCAGTCATTATCGACCGCCAGAGCGTAATTGAATATTTCGCTCTTTAATCCGCAGTACGGTCGAGTAACGGCGCCGCGTGATTATTTGTTGCCCGGTATCCCTCCCTGGCGTTGCGCGACCCGGACGGGCCTTCCCGCGGCCTCGTAATTTATTTCGTACGTGCCGGCGATAACAACCGACGCGATAAAACGCTCTTTAACCCGTTGGTCGGGCGGAACGACGACGCAACTGCAAACTTTTCGCAGGCTGGCATTATCGCCACGAATCACTAATTAACGCGCGCTTAGAACGGCCCGCTGATTAACGTGCCGTGCGCGGAAGGTAATCGGCTGGGATTTTATAATAATGTACCTCGGCGGTTCGATATTTCGAAATAATTAAAGAGGAAGATTGAATTGCGCATTAGACGAAAATTCGCCGCAAGCTTTGTTTTTCGTTCCTGCGTTATAACTTTCTCTTTTTTATTTTTAAATTTCAAACATCTATATTTCACTTTAAGTAGAGAAAGTGTACACTAGTTTAATACGATAAAAACAGATCTACAAGGAAAGAAAACGATTTTGCTGAAGTATCTAATAAAAATTTAGGTAAAATTTAGGTAAAAAAAAAAAAACAGATCTGAAAATAATTTTGCAGAATAAAAATAATTTTATAGGAATTTTATGATGAGAGCAATGCTACACAAAGTTTGATATTTTAGCAATCAATTTAAACGTTCTATGTAATTATTTTGATGATCCAACAAAATTGTTTTAACATTTGTATCTAAAATTTTTAAATACTTCAGCACAATTATTTTTTCGGTATAAGAATTTAAGACAATATAAAAAGGGAATATCTTTTATGAATTCGGAATAAATTTTTTTAATTCATTATTTTGATGGTCTAATAAAATTTATTTTCAAATTTGTATCTAGTTAAATTTTTAGACACTTTAGCAAAACCATTCTTTCCATGTAAAGTTACTGTTATACAAAATTAGTTTAGTGATAAATCATAGCTAGAAAAATACAATTTTTACATTATTATCGGGTTGAGCGAATTTAAATCTAAGTCAAAACCAGAAAATAAAAAATCGGATCTCTGTATTGGCTTTAATTTGAATGTTAAATAATCGCCACATTTGTTGGTTGTTCGCAAGCAACATACATAAAAATAAAATTAGTGAAGTTACTTCCTTTATTGGTTGATTTTCTAAATCCAACTGTAGTTCTTTATTTGAATAGAAATTGATTGGCATATTACAATCGCCTTGTTATTGATTACGATTCGATCATGCGTGAGAGAATTATTAATATGATTTTTCGCAGAGTGAGTCCTTTCCATCACTTAAATATATATTGTAAAGCAAGTGTCTCTGCATTTTTTTCGCAAGTTAGAGGAAGAAATTCAAGAGGTCATACGTGGATCTGAAATTTCGAAACTAGAAAATTGTATCCGCGAATTATATCGCATTTAAACGATAGTACGTGCGTGCGAAAAACGACGATGAATCGTTGAAAAAGTCAGTAACGCGCGATCGCCGCGACACGAGCTTGCGGTAGACCGGAAGAGAGCCGAATTACGAGTGGAAGCGGCGGCGATTCGGGCGGAAGCGGCGCGATTGATCTCTAATCGCATAGCGTATCGCGCGCTATATTTTACACGGCGGCGTATCGAGCGTGCATTGCACACCGGCAAAATTATTGTCGTCGCTGCTGCTGCTGCGCTGCACTGGCGAGGCAATAGTTTTGCGGCGAGCCGCGAATGCGCGAGAGAGCTTTTATGGGTCGCTGCTTCAAAATAAAGCAACTGAATCGGCTACCGCCGTCGCTGCCGCCACGCGTTGGAAAGAGACCGACTTCGAGGGCATGAAAAGATCGCGTATCGGATAGATATCTGCGAATGTGGGTTAATCGCGCGCGTCAGCAATTAGGAGAAGCGGAACTTGTATTTTCGACTCTTTGTGGATGTTTCTGAAGAATTAGAAATTAATTTAAATCAGTACCAGAAAAAGAGAACAATTATTAACAATCGATAATCTTTGGTATACAAAGTGGCAAAAAAGTTCGGCTGTAAAACTTTGTATATTTATCAAATTATTATTCAGATAACAAGTTGACGCTATTTGTCGTTAAAATAATATTTGAAGATATCAAAATGACGACAAATGTCATCAGTTTGTTTTACCTAAGTAATAATTCGCTGCTTTGATAGAAAAGTGACATTTCAAAATTGGAAATTTTTTTTTTCAGAAGAGTATTTTTAAAATTCTGAATTGAGACAACGTTTCAAGGAAAAATGGCATGACTCCAAATAGGACGTTTTTCTATAACTATTTTAACATCAACAACATTCCTTCACAGTATTACTCCAAAATGTCTCTGTTCTATAAACAATCATTGCGAATTTAATCAGATGACAAGCGATATTTCCGTGTTGTAGCGGTAAATTGAGAATTACAAATGTATCGTTCTTCCAATAAAAATATGTATTTTTAACAAAAATAATCTTTAGAGTTGATTTTATCATTATCTAAAAAGTGCACAATTTTAGTTTACTTTTTTTATTAAAGTGGTAATGTATTAAAAGAAAACAAATTCTGGAGTATTGTGTTAGTTTCGTCTAATTAAATATCAAAAAGATTACATTGAACTGAAGATCGTTCTATTGGTTGCCTGAGAGAGAGAATTATTTATTCATGGAAAGAAGCGCGATCATCGTTAACATATTTTCAAAGCGCCTTAAGCTTGTATCAGTGACTATTTTGAAATGCTAATTACTATCTTTGATATTTAACAAAATAATAATTAACATTCCAGAGTTGTTTTGTTTGAAAATATACGTTACTAATGATTTGATAAACAAAACTTTGTTGCTAAACTTTTTTGCCTTTCAGTACACACATAAGTATATTTTAGGAATAGATTTCTTCATACAACATTTACGTATTCCATGTAAAAGAGAAAACATCTCTATGCGTGGGTGGGTAGTTTTTGACCTGGTTTTCGTGTGCATCGCGTTTCTCTCCCTCTCAAAGTGTATCGCGTCATTCCTCTATCCTAGGAATATATACATATATGAACACTCTGGATCCCTCGACACGTTCGTAGTCGAGTATTTCAAAGAAAATTCGACAACTGGCCTTCAATGTCGAGTATATGACTAGTTTAGTTTCAGATCAAAATTCCATCAAGTTGAGATCCGTTTCAAAGAAACCGATT